AAAACCAAAAAAAAAAAAAAAAAAAGAATCAGGGCTGTTAACTTGTGCACCATCAAACACAGCCTCATTGATTGTAAAACACGCTTCCTGTGTGCCTCCTGAACACTTCAGGCTGCTTGCTGCCTGTGGGCTTTCTGCATGCTTCCTGCACACTTCCAATGTGCTTCCTGTACACTTCCTGTGTGCCTTCTACACACTTCCTGTATACTTCCTGCACACTTCCTATGTACTTCCTGCATACTTCCTGTGTGCTTCCTGCACACTTCCTGTGTGCTTCCTACATACTTTCTGTGTGCTTCCTGTACACTTCCTATATGCTTTCTACACACTTCCTGTGTACTTCCTGCATACTTCTTATGTGCTTCCTACACACTTCCTGTGTGCTTCCTGCACACTTCCTGTGTACTTCCTGCATACTTCTTATGTGCTTCCTACACACTTCCTGTGTGCTTCCTGCACACTTCCTATGTGCTTCCTGCATACATCTTATGTGCTTCCTACACACTTCCTCTGTGCTTCCTACACACTTCCTGTGTGCTTCCTGCATACTTCTTATGTGCTTCCTACACACTTTCTGTGTGCTTCCTACACACTTCCTATGTGCTTCCTATATACTTCCTGTGTACTTCCTACACACTTCCTATATGCTTCCTACACACTTCCTGTGTGCTTCCTGTTTCTTAGACTAACCCATGGATGGCCAAGACAGAACACTCCTGTCTAGGTATAAACCTTTTCCTTCGTGTTCTTCTTCATGTTGTCAGGGGTCAGATGGGTGAGTTTTCTATTATTAATTCTATAGCATATCTTTGTGTGTTCTAACTCCACATCAGTCTTACAGTCAAGCATGGCCTTGGTATACTAAATGAGCACGGAGGAATTTGAAAAAATCCTATCTCAAGAAAAAATAACCTGACTGGCAGGGCATTGTCTTGTACAATTGGATTCCACATGTCAAGGGCTGAATGTTGCCTCAGCTTTAATTTCAAATCTCCTCTCAGAGATGGATTCACAGGACAGGTTAGGGTAAATGTTTTATAGTCCAGAAGGCAAAAGAGAAATCTATTTTAGTGTTTAAAATGAATTCTTATGTAAACACGGTAATACTCATGACTTACTTTATTTTTCTTTGCTTGTTAAGACAGAGTCTCCCTGTGTAGTCCAGATTAGCTTTGAACCAAAGACAGTCCTCTCACCTTGTCCTCCCACATGCTGGCATTACAGATGTGCCACCATACCCAGCTGTACCTCCCTCTTCTCTAAGAGCTCAGTGGTCTCTAACTATCCATAATTAGTATTCCAGGAACTCCAAGGATGCCTATATCTAGGATGCTTCAGTCCCTTATAAAGCCTTGACATGCCCCTGTATAATTTTAAAAGTCATCTCTACATTACTTGTAATAACTAATACAATATAAACATTCAAAAATTATCTTATACTGCATTGCTTAGGAAATAATACCAGAAAAGGCTATATACATTCAATACAGATGTAAGTTCTCTAAAGTGTATTTTCAATCTAATTGAATCTACAAAGTAGGTCCCAAGGTCCCAACTGTACATTAGAGTTATGTTATGTTATGTTATGTTATGTTATGTTATGTTATGTTATGTTATGTTATGTTATGTTATGTTATGTTATGTTATAATACAGGGTAGGTTTATTCCACGTCCTTCAAGTTGGCTCCACTTACTGCCTTTGCGTAAGGTAGGGTCCTAGTCCACCCTTCAATTCACATAGCTATTTGAATAATTTCAACTAATGGGTTGTGTGGGAATGAAGTGCCTCCGTTCTGTGCTGAAGTGTAAAAGAAAGAACGGCCTTGACAACAAGTGAACCCTTGCGTTCCACATATTACAGCTGAAGGATGGACTTGTCACACTGCGTCCCTCAGTGACACATGGATCAGAGCAACCCATACAGCCTGCCATGCACACAAGTGGGGAGTGTGCTTCTGTTTAGACTTGAGATGCTGGGATTAAATTGTCCCTGCAGCCTACGGTAGTCTAAACTGACAGATACAAATGGATGGGTAAATCACAGAAGGCGCACATCTGTTTCCTCCTACCCACTCTTAGGAAGAGTTTATGGAAGTCCCACTTAACGTTATTAATTTGTCTTACTCAACTCTCTTTTATAGGGTACTCCTATATAAATAGAAGATGAAGAAATATCATTTATTAATTTGGCATTTCATGCACCTAGTAAAACTGGATTTTGTTAGGAAGAAGAAATGGAAGAAAGCTATCAGGCAGAAAAGCATTGTACACTATAGTGCAGTCCTCCATTCTGTTATCTCAGATATACTCTTATTTACAGTGGTACAGAGGGGGTTTATAGTCACTCAGAGAAGCCACAAGTTTACATTTCAAGGGTTGTGCATATTTGGTGGTTAGAATGAGACAATTAAGGGTTAAACAGTACAAATGACCAGTTACTAAAGCATAAGAAAAGCATATTACAATATTCAAATTCATCCCTTCCTAATTAATTTACTACCTTACACTCACATGAGGCTAAGCTTTGAATGTGCCGTCTCTTCGTAGGGGAGAGGTGTGGCACTTTGTATTCCCAGCTCTGCCCTCAGCAATGACACATGGTTAGCTTATGTAAGCCACAGAGTGGGGAGTTACAGCACAAGAATCAGCCAACACTCTGAAGCAGAGCATGATGCACTGCCTTGTTGATTGTCCAGCACGTAGGAGGAGGATGCAGTTGTTACTAACACAAGTTAGACTTGGAAGTGTGCTATGACTGCAGGCCCTGCCTGGTGAACAGCACCACAAAAAGGAAACAGTCCATCTTGTTTGTAAATGATGGTCTGAAAAATGTTACCCGGTTCATTGATGAACCAGTGAAAAGGAGGCCCGCAGCTTCAGTGTGCCCCTTTCATCTCCCTCGTGATCATATAAACATATCGAGCAGCATTCCTACGGGAGGAGACTCATTTGTCACTTGTCTTGTTTGAAAACAAAATCCTATCTTTGGTCAGAACAAGAGAGTCATGAAAGCTCACACACTCGTTCTCAACTTGCTTGCTCTGGTTCTATAGCCTAGACCTTGTCCACAATTAAGAGGGGTCTTCCCATATCAATTAATGTACTCAAGACAATTCCCCACATGCACGCCCAGGGGCCCCTCTCCCAGGTTTCCTTTATTCTTATCTCAGTTTCTCTCTGTGTTGATTCTGATAAACTGTAAGCTCCAGGGAAGGACAGCCCAGCACTTTGTCTAGCTCCATGTCCCCGTGCTCTGCCCTTCTCCTTGATGTGGGGCACAGTGATTCCGCTTTGAGTCAGTTAGCCACAGCCATCTCCAGAGAAGCAGCACACTGGACTCCCCAACACACACACACACCACCACCACCACCACCACCACCACCACCACCACCACCACCACTGCCATCATCATCATCATCATCATCATCAGCAGCAGCAGCAGCAGCAGCAGCAAGTGGCTCTGGGTCTCTTTCCCACGGAACAGTAGCATAGGCAACTGTGCATCAGTCATTATTTATGATGATCCCAGTGGCTGTGTTGAGAGCATCTTCACCATCATATGTGGAGATGCCAGGTCAAGAAAGATGATATCAGAGACAAAGGCAGTATCCTTCCTTCCCTGCTCACAGCCCAATTGGTGAGTTTGACATTGCCTCTCCAGCAAGGAATTGCTGAAAGTATTGGAACCAGCACAGGCCAGTACGTGAAGGCTTTGTTCCAGTTCCTCCTAATCAAGGGGCCCCAGCTTTCCTGAAAAGCAGGTGCCAATTTGATCAAATAGACAGTAATGATCCCAGCTTTCCTACTTGGAGTCCTGCAAGCTCTCCTTTCTCTCACAAAGTCAATGCCACACAATCCTGTACAAAGCACTCCTCTTCTTTATACTGAATTCCGCTCAGGCTGACGTTACAATCAGCTCTGAATCAGAAAGGATTGAGAACAAGTAGCGTGAACATATTAACAATTTTATTTGAGGAGCCTAGATGTGGTTAACCTAGGGCCTATCCAGGTGGGTACTCTCCACCTTCAGTATTGTGTCCATCATTGAAGGACAACAGGGGAATAGAAAGAGAATGCGAGGGACTGATCTAATCCCTATGTAAGGATCTTTACTGCAAGCCCCTTGTCTAAAATAACAGTTATGATGATAATTATTAATGAATAATAATAGTAATTTCTAGTAGAATGGATCAAGAGAGCACCACAAAAGGAATTCTAACAAAATCACATTCAGGCATATTAAGTTAAGATTTTTTTTTTTTTTACAATTGTAATTATCTTTTACTATAACCCGAGTATTTCCCAGAGAAGCTGTCTGGATGCAGTTGTCAAGGGCAACAATGATGTCAAATTTTGGACTTTGGTAACCACAGTGGAACTTTTGTAAGGAGGGTTATAATAACCAAAATTATCTATTGATGATTGGATAAGAGACCTTCCTCAACTTTAGAGTCCTTACAGCAATCTCTGCATTTCATAAATTCAAAAGAACTTCCCAGCTGGGCTGCAGTAATTTCATTTACTCTAAAATATCAGTGTAATCACATAAAAGGGAAAATGGCCCCAGGAGAAGTTCTCTTGCTATTAGCAGCAACATATATAAAACTGTTCCCAGAAAGGGGTGGTTAATCATGTCATTGGAAAGGGCCCTAAGAAGTCGTTTGTGCCATATTGGACAGATAAATGAGTGTCCTAACCTTAAAAAATATATCCACGGAAGAAGATTCAAATTCTTCATTGTGGGCTTGATTATTGCAGGTACTCCCTAGAGCAATGTTAAACATCACTGATGGTTTTGGTCCTTTCAACAAGTGTTTACTGAGCATCTCCTGTGCTTATGATCAGAGAAACAATGACATTTGTGACACAGTCATTGTCAGCAGAGATCACCAATGAGAAGTTGAAGCAAACTTGGAGAAGGGAGGTTCTGCCCTGTGTGAAATGGCCTGGAAAGGCTTCCTGGAAGAAGCGGTCACTCTTGGGATCCATGGTGAAGAGAAGAATGTCGAGTGAATTCGTGCCAGAGAACATTACTGCACATCTGGTTTCTCTCAACCTTTCCCCATTCTTGACTGTGGATATTACTTTCATTTCCTCCTAGCCATTCCCTTTGCTGCTGTGGCTGAGACAGCTCTCTGTTCCCACATCAACTAGGAAGACAGACATTGAATTTGGCTACATTTCTTCAGATACATCATTGTCTAGGGTTAGAAGAAGGAGAAGTGTGCAAAGGATTATTCACCTTGCATGTAAAATGTAAGAAATGGTTGGAAAATGTAGGCATCAAAATCACTAACAACTAAATGAAATTTTATCAAAAAATAAAAACTAATGAACAAAATGTGTGATGAACAAAAGGTCAGAATTGAAAATAAAAATCAGATCCGAGAGAGAGAGATCTGCTAATTCCTATTAGAGCCTGAAGTAAGCAAGGAGTCATGCCCTTAGATACCAGATGGCTCTGACTTCTGGACCCCAAAGATCCTCCTGCCTAAAATCACAGTCATGCATCACCAGGCCCAGCTAAAAGCACGTGCTTTTAAAAACAACTATCTCCCAGAATAAGTTAGCTGAAAAAAACACTAAAATGTAAGCCCATTAAAATGCATACCACTTGAGTTTAAATTATGTTATTAGGATTTACCATCTTAAATTTAACAACTATGAATTCAATAACATTTTCAAAACTATTTCTTGCCTGACATTTTTACTCACATTTCTACCGGAAGTAAGCTTTCTCTGCACCACCTCCCCTTCCCCCAGGCCTAATGACCA